ATATAACCTCATTTTTGTTTCGCGCATGTGAAGAAATTCAGCGAGTTGGTGGACATGTGCTTGATAAACCAATTCTACAAAATTTTGCTTCAAGATTATTAGATAAGGTATGTGTAAATGTCTTTGTCTTGCCGTTGTAGTTAAGCTGCTGCAATGTACATGCATAACATTGGTCATGCCTTGAAGTAACAAATAACAGTGCTTATATTCCTAATGTTGTAAAAATGTTTGATGTGCATGGATTTTGATGCTATGTTTGGATGGGTAGAATATGAGTGGAATGATTTATTTTTCAGTTTAAGAATGGAGTGATTATGGGGAGAAAATGATCTTTTGATACTATCAAATATGTTTCCTTCTTAAAATGGGAGTTGAATAAGGATAACATAAGCCTTCTCCACCCACAGTATACCTGAAAACCTCCTCTCTCCCTCTGAATACATGACCTTGCTTTCTCCTCCTTTCTTTTCATTTTCTCTTTTTGTTCAAACACCTATCCAATTTCTTCTTCCTCTTGCTCTCTTTCCTCTCCCTATCTACCTATCCAAAAACAGCATTGATGTATAGTATTGGGAGGTTGACCAATCAATTGTCAAAACTTTCTCCTTAAACTTGGTATGACCTTTTAACTTCTGAGATTTTGTTTACTTGAGAATGATGAGATTAGAATGTGTTTATTGAGTTGATTAAGGGTGGAATTGAAAAATTCTAATAAAAAAGTTGTCAAAAGTGAAAGTGGCAAACACTTTTTGACATTCAGGAAGAATGGTTTGATATATAAAATGGGATGGGTGGATTCAATTTCAGTGTTGTAAAAATGCTAGGCGCCTATTAGAACATTTCCTATTGTAAAAATGGGATGGGTGGATTCAATCGACAGGCTATGTTACCTATTAGAACATTTTCTTAGTCTTATATGAACTAGGAAAAAAATTATTAACATTCATTATACATTAAAAAGAAAAAGAAATGCAAGATTGTGGCATCTCATTTGGGGTCATTAGGCAAATGGTACAACCAAATATAAGCACAGATCATAGACGAATATATTATTTTATCTATGCATATATATTGACATTTGACAATGCTAGTGGCCTCATTATTTTGTTCATAGAATAAATAAACTTTCTATTTTCAATTATTACTTAAAATGTTAAAAGTTTATTTGTTAATTTCACCAAGGACAGTCCACAAAAGAGCAAACCAATAGTATAGATGAGGTTCATATCCTCCAAAAAATCAATCTGGATCACTAATTTATCATTTTCAACATTTTACTTTACATTGCAAATTGTTTTAACGTAACACATCTTATATCTATTTCTTAAAGTCTGCCTTCTGATTTATATATGTTTTTTTATGAGTTGTCCTGATATAACTGTGTTCTTCAGTATTATAATGTCTTTTATAATTTCTGGTGTTTATTATGATTATCACATATTTGTTAGGTAATTGATATTTATGGAGACTTCCTTTCAACGGAAGAAGCCCATGGATCTCAAGTCTCTGAGAAAGGAGCTTTGCAAGTTCTTTTGGATTTGAGATTTGTTGCTGATATTCTCTCTGGAGGTGATTTGATTGAAAATAAGGAATCATCAAAAGTTCCAAAGCCGAAGTCGTCTTCTAGACGCAGACAGGATCGAGTACAAACCAGTTCAATGACTAGGGAGCATGTAAATGTGTTGATTAATCGCTTTTCACAAATATTGGATCCTATTGACTGGCTCACGTAAGCTTTAATACCAGCAAGACTCGATACTACCATGCCATAAGATACCACGTTATTTACTTAACTGTTGAATGCAAGTTGTTATGTGCTCACCGTCTGAATACTTTGCATTTGGGAGGAAAATGTTCTAATTTCATTTGATTTTCTGTAATGTATCATGTGATTAAGCAAACATTTTTACCTCTCCTTTTTATGATTCATTTCAGATATGAGCCATACCTTTGGGAAAATGAGAGACAGTCATATTTAAGGCATGCTGTCCTCTTTGGGTTCTTTGTGCAACTTAATCGCCTGTACACTGACACTGTACAGAAACTACCAACTAATTCTGAATCAAATGTTATGCGATGTTCCATAGTTCCTCGCTTCAAATATCTTCCTATCAGGTTGACATTATTATCCTTATATAATATATTGTACATTTACTTTTTTCCCCTTGCACTTGCGGAGTTGTGTTTTCTTCTATTTGCTAGTTATATTGTCAAACTTGTTTTCACATATCGCAGTTTGCTTAATATTGCTCTAGTTTCAGTTTACCAAGCAGATATGCTACCATTCACAAATCCTGGGACTGATTATAAATTTTATATTGGTTCTGCAGTGCTCCAGCACTGTCTTCAAAGGGAACAAACAAGGCTTCTATATCAACATCAATGGATCACATTTCATCTAGAAGTTCCTGGAAAAGTTACTCAAATGACGATCTATCTCGGAAAGTTGATGGGGATGAAAATTCAGGTTTGGGGATGGCAGCACCACTCTTAAAGTCTTTCATGCAGGTAACTTTTCTATGCTTTTGTAGCTTGCTTTGTTTGCCCCCTTCCCGTGTCTGCTCTGGAGCTTGTACAGTTTAGGTTATATGTTAATTGCAAAGGTTGTGATCTCTGTTACACAGCCTTCTATGCCTCTCCACATGTCATATGTTTGAATCTTGTATAGATCAAATATTCCCACAGTTCCAAAATAGTTCTTCTATTAAAATATTTTAAGGATATTAGAGGAGAAGTATGTATTTTTCCTCTTGCCCACAAAAAGTGGGTAACTTTTTTACCATTTGACTTTTATTAAAAGGGTAAAGTAGGAACATAAAATTATTTGTGATGTTTGTATTAGGAAAGTGTGGGATGCACTAAACAGGAAATTTGGACTACCAATTTGGGGTGGAGGGAGTATATATTATCTGAAAGTTGGTCTCTTGGTCCTACTGCTCGTGTTGTCTTAACACTAAACTTGTCTATACTTTTCTATACTTAGAGCAAAATGTTAGAATGGAGATATTAAAATACTATAATAGTTAACCCATTCTTTCCTAATTTTAATTTAGCCGAAATTTTTTGCATGTTCTAAATAGAGCATCCTCTCATTTGAGCTCTTGAGAGTTGCTCCTATCCCCATTTTTACATGTCAGGTTTTGCTCTGGTTAAATGGTAATGAATTAGGTCTAAATTTATTAGTAATCAATTCAAATTTTGAAAATAAATTTCGTAGACCAAGTGGCAGTAAGCTACAAACCTTGAACATGAGAAGTTCAAAACAAAAAATAGATACATAAAAAAAAATGCTGACACTTGATAGAATGATTGACAAGACTTTTGAGAAATAAAATAGTAATATTTGGTTAAGTGAGTGTAAATTGTGATGTCTCCTAGTGCATAGCATGAAGTGTTGTACCGTAGGGATGATAGATGATATCAGATTCATTTACCATCAAAAGAATTCAGACATCTTTTCTCCCCTAGTCCCTTCTATATTGTTTCTCCTTCTACCTCCTGATTTTGGTGACTGCCATGTTTATTTGGCTGAATTTGGTCTTTATGTTTTGTAAAGTTTGCTGATCTTGTTCAATGAAAATTTGATTTGGTCAATTATACTAACACAGTTGAAAAGTTGGGCAATTGGCCAAGTTGCTAACAGACTGTTTCACCTTTGTCTATTAAGCCCATGTTTTAATCCACCATTCCACTAGCAACATCATCAACTCAAATATTAGATTTCATAATTCTTACTTTTCTATCCTAAATTCCAAAACAACTCCAAGATCTTGAGAACCTTAAAAAGCATAAAAACAATGTAAAAATTTTTGACTTAGTGCAAGAGCTTGATTAAGAAGATGATCATATTATGGAGATCTTTGGAGTGATCTTGAAAAGCCTGTTGATCTGTAGGGTATTGTAGAATTCATCATGTTCCACCGAATCCACCCTGATAATGACAACAAGATATCTTCTTTTGCTTTGGGATACATTTGAGGCCATTTCACAAACAGTTTAGGTGCAAGACCTAATGTTGTTTATAGTTAGGAGGTCAATAGCAGCACCATCATGTCAAGCAGCCTATAACTTTTACAGTAAACCAAATGGGTGGTAGAGCAATTGTTTTAAAGCACTTTCTCACCATCATCAGACCACCACCTATAAGCTTCCATGGATGATGTGGATTCGAGATTTTTTTCCCACTTTCTTTAAATTGCGGAGGATGTAGGTGGAGATAATAAACTTTATATATATATATATATATATATATATATATATATATATATATATATATATATATATATATATATATATATATATAAAGAAGAGAGAAGAGGGCAGTGGGTGCAACCAATGAGGGGAAGAGGTTCATGGGGCGAGGAGAAACAAAAGAAGGAAAAAAAAACTTTGTTGGAGTACTGGATCTTGATATTTTTTTGAAATGTTTTCTATATTTATTTATTGTAATACTTTATAAGGGATTGGACACTTGAGCAGGTCAAATGATAATATGGTTGGGTTAGAGTCATAAAATGCTTAGTCAGCTGGTTAAAGAATGGGCGAATTTCCTGATTTTTCAAATGTTTTGACCTATTTGACTAGAAAAATTCTTAGGACTAGATTGGCAAATTTTAGTATTTTACAAAACATAAGGGCTAAATATAGCATTCAGCCACATTTCTTTCTCTGCAATTGTTACAAGAAAGTGCATCTGTACTTTCTTCCACATAGAAAAGAGATCCAATGAACAAGAACAAAAGTAGCAGACACATAGACGGCATTGACCACTTCTATACCAGAGTATTGAATTATGTGTTCCATCTCAATTAAAAATTTCAACTATTTGGGAGGGAAGACATTTAGTATTTTATTTTTGCCGCCTCCACACATCCTTTCACTTGTGGGCTAAAAGTTCTTTTTAATTAGTCAAACACGTGGAGTCAGAGTCAAGGCCTCCGTCGACTTAAGTTTTTAATTGAAATGGAACATCTAATTCAATAAGCATCTTGTCTGGTGCAATATGTCCAACTATCTTGAATCAAATTTACCAAGAGTAATATACAATTTAACTGAAGTTGGAATTTTAACACTAGTGACATATTAGATCATGCACCCATTACTTACCAATCTGTTTTACCAATATATTCCTCCTAAAAGTTATGATTCACTATAGCATTTTCCATATCGGTAGAGGTGCTTTTCCTTGAGTTTCCTAATTCACTTTTGTGCCTTTATTCATGTTTGGCTTGGTGAAATCGCCAAGTGTTCTCACCTATTGAATGTCATTGATTCAAACTCACTAGGGAGCCTAAAAACTCTGTTATTTTTGAGGAGTGAGCAGTAGAAACATATCATGTCTCACTAGGACTTTTAGTCCTGTTATTTTGAGGAGTGGTTAGCGGAGTCTGCCACTAGGGTATTTACCCTGTTGAGTAGTAACCTATTGATTGTCATTGATTCAAACTCAGGAAACCGCCACATTGAAAACAGATTTAGGTTGCATTCATTTTCTAACTCCTGATCCTACACAAGATGCATGAGTCATTGACTCTGCAAAAAAAAAAAAAAAAAAAAAAAATCCTAAAAGTAGGATAGTTTCCCTTTTGGTTTCTCTTCTAGTCACTCTGCTATTAAAATATACATGGATCTGCATAGAAGCCTCTTCAGCATGTGAGGATGGTGTGGGAGTTCCTACACAGATTACTTTACCAAGGGAAACTAGAAAGGGAGAATAATAGAAAAAATGATGGGTTGCCATTTCACCATGAGTGCTTCTTACATCATAATCATCACTAGCAATTCTACAATTTATTATGTGACAGAAAAACTTTACAATAAAAAGGATTGCTAAACTTAGATGGTTAATTTGTTTTGCTAAAAATTATATTATATAATATATAAATAAATGGCTGGTGAACTTTTTTATTTTTAATTTATTTCATCTGTCTAATAGCAGTAGCAAGTTTATTTTCTCCACGTGGTTTTTTATTTTCTGAAAAAAGCTGAGATTTCAAGGAACCTCCAGTTGAGATTCAGTATTTTTCTAATGACTAGCTTTCACGTTTAATAAATGAATCTGATTTTTGGCCCTTGATCATCAGGTTGGTAGCAGGTTTGGAGAGAGCACGTTAAGATTGGGATCAATTTTGACGGAAGGACAAGGCAGGTTTGGGGACATATTACCTGCACAAGCTGCAGGGCTCCTTTCATCATTTACGGTGGCCAGATCAGATTCTTAGAGCACGTTTGACATGGCTGAAACTTCACTATAAAGATATTGGTTTGATAAGAACTACTGGAAAAAGCTTTAATTTTTTGGTTGAATACATAGTAAGTTCTGCTTATGATAAATAAGTTGTTTGGGTTATTCAACAATTAAATTTTTTTAAAGTTTCTTTTTCCTATTACTGACTGTTAAGATCTCCTCCATAAAGGATATTTGTTAAAGCATTACCTCATCGACCTTATCTCTTCCCAGAGTTCTCGGATTCAGCTCAAGGGTTGCTTCTTCTCAGGGAAGCTGCCCCTTCGGAGCAGCGATGTATCTCGAACCATTAGGTTTGTTAGCTCGAAGATTGATCTTTATGGGGAGCTTTAAAGGAAAAACATTGAAGGGTGATTATTGTGGATTATTACTCGTTTAGTTATCTGTAAAGAGTAGATAGGTTACTGGAAATGATGGACATTATGCTTTATGCAGTTGAACTTTGTCGAATTGATTTTGCTTTACGGAGTTGTGAGTGGTAGATACAAATCATACAATATGAAAGGTTTTGGGGTAAATGTGTTAAATAAATTCTCAAAGTTTCATGAAAATAGCAAACTCAAAAAATCTTTAAATTTATACTTATATACTAGTGTTTAAACGATGTACGGAAGAAAATTAGTTATCATAAACATTTAAAAATAAAAATATGTTACGGAGTAAAATGTATAATATAATAATATAATTGGACTGTTCATATATTTAGTATGTATGTATTTTAATGGCATACAAAATTAAAATTTTGTGTAATTAATATAGTCTCTAATTATGTTCATATTTAAATAAATTTATAAATGAAGTTTACATTGCTGCCCCTCTCCCATTGAGTGAGAATCAGCCTAGACACCCCTTATCTCAAATTAGATGAGGGGTGTTCATGGCTATTCCTTGTCTCATATCAAACGAGAGGCGGCCTTCCGGTAATTGGTTTTTTTTTAAAAAAAAAAAAAATTTAATTTTAATTTTAATTTAAAAAAAATTGACTATAATTTTTCTACAAAATTTTAAAAACTGTAAGTTTTTAAAATTTTATTTAAAAAAATATTTTTAGGAATGATTTTTTAAAAATTATAAAGTCATAAGTACATTGAATGTTACTAATGAGTAATCATCACATCCAAATAATGGTATACATTGAAGCATAATTAGCCCAGACTAATTCACATTCGCACTAATTCGACTTAATTAAGGAGCGCCAGATTGAGTTTTTCATACGATAGAGGGTTCGAACTCCCAACCCTTGAACTCTCGACCTCAAACACTCACGCCAACCAAACTTGTTAGGCTAAATTGTACAACACGACCATTTTGCCTCATCATCATTGGTTTCTGTGACGTTATTCATCTAAGCAAATGCAAATTTATTCAATTCATAACCAAGCATAACATACTACATTAGTTCATAAACAAAATGCACTCATTCTAGTAAAGTGAATATGGAAACACTCCACTAGTTTTTTTTAAAAAAAGGCTAAGGGAATGAAGAATCCTTCTATGTTGAAAACCTTCATTTCAGCAGTAGAACACATTCAACTCCAAAACAAAAGTGTTCATGAGAACTCATATGGCATTTTAACATGGCTTGTGTAGGATTTACAGGAAATATAGGACCATATATGCTCATTTGGAAGTTCAGAAAAAGGCCTCTTTTTGAACAGAGTCAATTTAAATTCAAGCAGAGATAACACATTAGAGTAAATGAGAACAACATCTAAATACATACATAAATCTTCAGATTTAGAAAGGACATTACTCTGGAACGTGGTGATGGGCACGATCCAACCGATGATTTTGGTGACTCCGTCTTATGGGGTGAATAAGCTATCTCATAATCATGAGATAAGCCACCTGATCAAATCCAAGTTAGCTCCATTAAAACAATTAGAAAATGTAAACCTATAACAGTTGGGTAGGTCTCTAATTAGTAAACTTTTTAAAGTAATGTACGGAAATGCTAAATCTGAGGCACTACCTACAAGAGTTTTATCTAACTGTATTATTTATTTTAAAATTTTGAAACTTTATTAAAAATGACTGGTAATTGAAAAGCAAAAAAATGTGTTCATTTAGATGGCAGCTTTTTAATCAGTCATGTGTCATGAAGATGCATTCAGTTAAGTTGATTTCTTTTTTGAAATCAAGTTAAACCACTTTCGCAGCAATTGTAATTGTAATAAACAAAATAGCAGCAATTGTTTTAGTAAAATTTGCACTCTATCTCACTCGTATTGATTATCTAGAAAGCCCACCACTTTCGCAGCTAAAATAGATCCTATATTGCACTCCATCGAGTTTCAACCCTAACATAGATCATAAATCAGGAGCAAAATTGTCAAGATATGGAAATCTAACAACTATGGTAACCAAGTTAAAATTATCAAAACAAACATCAATCAACAGAGATCGAAAGAAAAACAAAAATAAAAAATAAAATTACCTGGTAGTAACTTGTGGAGACTCCCAACTTGCGTATGCTCTGAGGAACGTCGGCGGATAGTAGCATTTCGCGGTGGACTTGGAGCCTGGCGGTCTGTGGACTGTGAGATTGACGTTGGCCTGAGGAATGGCGGGTGGGTGTGAGACAGTGGCGAGAGGAGTCGCAATAGACGGAAGCAGCAGCTGGAGAAGAAAGTAAAGTAGAGAAGGAGGATGGGTGTGAAAGAGAATAAGAAAGTAATGAAGGAAAATGGAGTGTGGTTGGCTGCCATTAAAGTAGAGAAGAAAGGAGAAAAATAAGGAAGAAAGAATAAAATCTGGCGGGCATGATTCGACGGTACCCTCACTACTGTTCACGCGTGTGTTTTCTGTTTTGAAAACAAATTTTTTTCGTGTTTCTGATTTTTTGCAAAAAGTGAAAATTGTTCTCAAATTTGAAAATGAAAAAAAAAAAAAAAACAATAGTAAACACTTTTGACTGTCTTCAATTTTCAATTCTTGAAAATTTTCTGTAAACGCCACTTATTTAACCACTAGTCTTTTCTATGCGCGATCCGTAAAAATATATGCCCAATATTTATATTTTTTAAAATAACTAATAAATCTCTACTAATTAAAATCTATATGAAGTCAAAATTACTTATTATAATAATTCAATATATAATGTCTACAAATATTATTATCATTAAAGAATATAATAAAATATATGGTGGATGCATGTGCATGGTAACAATAATGGAAAAGATAACGAAAGTTATAACAGTAGGGGTATTTTTGTCTAAAAAATTATATAGTACAACTCTAAAAGTATATTGTACAAAATGATTAGCATTAAAAACATGAACATAAATGAGGGATATAAGTTTGATTAAGACTTATTATATTTTTATTTAAATTTTTAAAATATTCAAAATTATTTAGAAAAGTATTGGAAAAAAAAATAAAATAAAATAAAAAGCGACAAAGATCGCAGGAAAGCATCGGCTGCATCGTATCTGATGCCTCACGCCTCTCATCTTCACTTCACTTTACTCTCTCCCCAGTCCCCAGCACCAAAAGTACTACCACAGTTTCACACTTAAACCCCCGATCTCCGACCGCCCTGCATTTTCTGCTTTCTTTCATCTCATCTCTTAACAGTTAACAATGCCGATCAACACCGACTCCACGCCGCCTCCGAGGATCGGAAAGATCGGCCCCTACACTGTCTTCATAACACCTCCCTCCACTCCTACACCTCACACTCCTTCCAAGCCCCCCGCCGCTTCTCCCACCAAACCCCAACCCCAGATTCACACGCCGCCGCCGCCGCCGCCGCAGGCGGCTGCGGTCAAGACTCCGCCTCCGGTCATGGTACCTCCCAAGCAATACGATAACTACCCTGCTAAATCCCACTCGGCTTTCGGGTTTTTCTGGGACGCTGTAGCTAAAGTCCAAATTGGTAACGTTTAGGTTTAGCGTCTATTTCTGTTCTTCAGGGATCAGTACTTTTTAATTTTAATTTTTTTTTTTTTTTTTTTTTAAATTTAGCAAATGTTAAGTAATGTGTTGATGAGTTTTCATTTATAGCGCACGCAAGTTTGGATGAGAGCGTGGCGTATTGGTTCGGGTTGAATCAATCCAAGTATCAGTGGGCGCTTGATGATTACTACGAGAGCAAGGGAATTGTAAGACTTTTGTTAATCTTCTCCAGTTTAAACTTTACGATTGTATGATTAATAGCTGCTATCATATCTAGCTTCATTCACTTTCATATCATCATGCTTGATATACAAATTGATGCATTTTGAAAGCAAAAATGAAATGGATATGATATGATCTCAGTTCACAAGTGGTGGTGTGAACAGGAGCCCTGGAGATTAATTCCTTTGAAAATGTTAGATCAAATGCAATCAACATTGAAGAATATTTTTGTTTGAACTTAATAAATATCCACCATGGGCTCCTGGTATAATTTTTTATCTATTTGTTTTGAATTCTATCAAGTTCTACTTGTCCGGCCATCACCAATTTTCGTAATGAAGTAGGCTTCTAAAAGTGAGATTAGATAGAGGGGAATTAGACCAAAGTTCAAGCACAAGTTGTGTGCCATCTGTAAGTTACTGTTGCAAATTATATCTTTTAGATCCATTGAAAGAAAACTTTGCCTTGGAAGTACTAAGTATTCTATATTACTGTATTCTTCACATATAGTTCTCTGTCATAGCTAGCCGAGTGACCCTTTCCTTGATCCAACTATTTCACTGGACACAATAGGCTCCCAATTCTGATTTTACTATACCAAGCTCTTATTGAAGATCTGCAGCCAAGTATACATCTTTTTTCATTTTTTTTTTCTGGCCAATAGAGAGTATATTACAATTAATTAACTACTATAATGGATCACAAAATTG